GTAGAAGCATTAGATTAGTAATAGCTATCTAAACAATATTAGTTATATCAATATTTATAATAGTATTTTAATTATTTTAATAACTTATATTTTTGTGTTAATATTACAATATATATAATTAATATAAATATTACATGTAATTATTTACTATACAGTAATTATCTAATCATAATATTTATAATAAAACATATCATATTAGTAACTGTTGCTATTTGACTACTATTTTTATACCTTAGACTTTACCTTTTAATTAAAATGACATATCTGTACTGTTATATTATAGATTATTTATATAAGTTATTAATATGTTTCATTGTTTTTGTTTGCTTGTTGACTCTTACAAAATAGATATTATTATTTTTATCAATTGAATTATGAATTTTAATTTGATTTGACATGAAATACATTGAATACTTGTTTGATACAAATTTTACGACTACTGAGACAACATTTGATAGCATGACTACTGAAAAGCCAAACCATAGACTAATTAGACTACCGATGAATGAAACAAATTCAACAAATGATAGTTTCGGTGAATGTCTGACTTCTAGTTCGGGAAATATAGGTTTTTCGACACCAATCCAAAAGTTGGTTACATCGGAAAACTCGTAGTGAAAGTCGATTAAATCAAAGTATTGTTCAGCACATGGATTGTTAGACCGACACGTTTTGTCACACAATTGTCCAATTAGTCGATCGCCTTTCCTAAAAGTTTCGTTGTCTATAGATTTTTGGACATCAAGTATAAGTTCATCGGTGGCCACGTATGCCAAATGACTTGATGGCCATAATTTAAATTTTTCTCGCATTTTCCTTAGTCTACATATTTCAAAACAATCGTTTCGCGACACATAACCATAGTGTGCATAATCCCAGCAATTTGTTTGATAAGGTGCCGGCAATTGATAAACAGTTATCTTCTGATAGTTTATAAATGATAACTTTCTTCTAATGTTATTAACTTCGATATCGTTTGACTTGTAATGGTTTAGAGGCATTAGATTTCTCGGATGAACCAATAGATTAACTCTTGCTATACTGTTATCCAGTTTAAGACTAACAATAGTCCAGTCCAGTACACCATATATTGATGTCAAGTCTATTAAATATTTATCGTCCGGTTCGCCATCGATTTGGGAGAACAGTGTCAGACATGTCTGATAATCGCTCTGTGATTGACGTACAGGTGCTATGAGATCACAACCGATGTACGCTTTGCTAGTATTGGTTGCAAAATATCGGGTTCTCATGACTTGACAGCCATGACTTAAAATATCAGCGCTTTTGTTGATTATATTGAACTGATCTTTTAATGTCATATTTTGGATCAATTCAGATAATTCCAAATTATTAGTTATATTATTGACAGCTTTGAACTGTTGTTTGAAATCAGGTTTCAAAACATCATATTTAAGCAAACATATAGTGATTGCCGGCAACGATACTATTGATTGATTCAAATAAGTTACTGAAGTTATTGTGGTATAAGAAAAATAAATACTACTTAACTCATAAATTTGATATAAAAATGTTAAACAACATAATGTAATAAATAAAATTTTTATACATTTATCTAATTTAAAATTGAACATTTTTTATGATATTATACTACTAATAATACTGTATTTTGACAAATACAGTATACAATATTTATTAATATACTGTATTAATCAACTTTATTGATATTCAATTTATTAAATATACTGTACTCTATTGTACAATATCTACTGTACAATATATAAAATTAATTTTGAAAATAGTTTATTTGCAATTCATTATTTACATAATATGTACATTTAGCACAATAGTTTAGATAATAAATTGTTGATATTTAATTTCAATAATAAATTTATTAATTACATAAATTTATTGTAAATATAAGATGTTTTTTATTAATATGTGTAGGCTATTAATCTAATATAATTATTGAAGTATTATATTTTTTTTATTAATTAAATTTCTACTTTATTGATAAATTCATTATCTATTTTGAGTAAAGTTATAATAAACTTTTTATATGATTTTTAAATGATTTATAATGACTTTATAATATAAATAATTATTTATTTTTTAATATATAAATTTTAAATAATTTAAATATAATAATTAATTAATTAAAACAATAAATAGTAAGAAATATCTACTAAAACTTTCAATAAATTATATTTTTCAAATTTACAATTACATTCATAATTAATAATAGATATATCAATTTCATCAATATTTTTAATTTATTTATTAACTGACCATTTATTAACATAAGTTGAGACATTAATTATATTAATTTTATTATTTTGTTTTACTAACAAATGTTTGACAAAATATAGCGAAAATTTATTACAAATAAAATTAATACCATTTGTAATAACATTTGATAACATGATTATCGAAAAACCAAACCATAGGCCTATGAGACTACCAATATATGAGACAAACTCTTCAAACGACAGTTTCTTTAAATGTTTTATTTGTAGATCAGGTATTACCGGTAATTTAAAAAACATCCTAAAATTGTCCAGGGGTAATTGTGAATATTTTACATCAAACAAATAATACTCATCATAACAGGGGATTAGATGTTGACATAATTGTCCACATTTTTGGCCAATTATTTTATCATTAAACGTTTCGTTGTAATTATTAGCAAATTTCTTATCAATTAAATCATAAGTTAATAATACTAAAGTATATTTGTTTGTCTTATTATCTAAATTATTTAGTCGACATTTATCAATGCAATCGCTCCGGGATATACTAGGATAGGTACCGTACTTTGTATAATCTAGACAATTGGTTTCATAGGGACTGGTCATTGACGAGACACTTATCTTTCTATAGTAGACAACAGATATCCAGTTGTCTTTGCAGTCAATTTCAATGTTATAGCTTTTGAAAAAGTTATGTATGACTTGTTTTCTCGGATGAATCAATAGCTGTATTTTAGAGATAGTTTTATTAAATTTAATTTTAGGTATACTATTATCATAGACACCGTATAATTTGTTTAGATCGACTAAAAATTTATTATCACTTTCACTGTAGTTTTGACCAAACAGTTTATAACATGCTTGAAAATAATCAACTGTTTTAAGTACCGGTGCAATACCATCACAATCATTACTATTATCATCGATAGCCACCAATGGTTTTTTGAGTTTACAGTTGAACAGTTGTGTCGATGGGTACAGACCATTGAGCTGCTGTCCAATAGTCATATGTTTGTTAATTACTTGTATCAGATCCTCATTGGTTATATTGTTGGCCATTACTGATCCATTAATAAATGTGTTAATAATTTCACGATTTACGGCTAAATTTTTATCCATACATATAGTAATGCCCGGAAGTGATAGTTTGTTAACTTTTTCAAATGTAACCGAAGTTATGTTTTGAAATGTAAAATACAAATAACATATTTGTATTATTTGATACAAACATGTTAGCAAACAAATTATACCAAACAATTTGTTTTTAATTTGATTAAACTTTTGTTTAATTAAGTTATACATAATTGGATAAATTTACAAAACAAATGAATAAATCAGAAAATTTAAAAATTTAGTGTATTTTAAAAAATTTACATATAAAACTACTACTGTATTTAGTGATGTATCGATTGCAAAATGCGCAATTGCATTGCTCGGCAATTGCGTGAAATTACCGCTATAGCAAAAAAAACTCGATTGTAACATAACTCTATCTATATTTTTTTTAAAATTAACAAGGTTTAAATGGTAAAACAATATGTATAAAAATATTAATTAATTTTAAAAATTTAATTATTTGAGCAATAAATGTTATCATCTGAAAACCGTGTTAAACATTTTAAAAAATGAGTAAAGAATCTAAATTTATAATCAACTAATTTTTAACGTTATCATAGTTAATTTTTATACAATCCCTCATGCGCGCAATTTCAAGCAATTTTCAGCAATTGCGGCACTCGAAAACTGAATTGCAAAAAATTCCCAACACTAACTGTATTACATAGTCATAATGTAAATTTTCAAACTACTAGAGTAGCAATTTAAATTAATAACATTTACAGTAAATTTATTATTTTGAAAAATAACTTTTTCATGTGTAATAAGATTGCCTTGTTTTTATTGATTACAAAATTAATTTACACATTTTATTATACAGTATTAACAGGTCTATGCATATAAATAGCATTTGTTTACTCATATTACAAGTATACTTCACTGTATTAAATATATGCATATTATATACGGTGTATATATATATATATAACTTGAGTCTTAAACTTATAGATCTTATATAATTTTTCCACAAAATATATATATATATAATGAATTCATTTGAGAAAATAAAAATTTTGAGTTTACACTCAAACAATGAAAAATCTCTGTTAGTAAACCTCTGAATACACACTAATATACTGTATAATAATAATATGTGAAGAAAATAAAATATTAAGTCTAAAATTTCAATAACAATACATAATAGTCTCTCTCTTTCAAGTAAATCATATATAAGAATATTCTTTAATATTCAGAAATTGTTTGGTTGTCAAAGAAAATATTTTCTCAATTTTGTATTTGTTGTGTTGTTATTGTATTGAAATACAGTAATATTTTTTAACAATATATTTTTTTGTATAAAATAACATATCTTAAAATACACTATTATTGTTATTATCATTTCTATTCCAATATTGTATTTGTTCAAGCATGTCATTATAATATTTATATATATTTATATCAATAATATATTGATATAATATAGTACACTGATAATAATAATGTAATGTTATTGACATGTCATCATCATTGATTTATGCGATGACAATAAGCTTGGTACTCAATTTTAATAATGATCAGTTTTATTTTTGTTATTTATTTTACTATTTCTATATAATTTTATATATATCATATATTTACTGTAAATTAAGCTAATTTATCACATAATATAAATATGTAATTAAATAATAAATCTTATGATGCTTTTATATAATATAATCATTATTTTTGCTATAGATTGTCGTATTGGTGTATATCGTATTGTTTGTGGCTTTGGTTATAACAAGCTATCGAAATAATGTCAACCGAGTCAATAACCGTCGGCGCCGTCGAAATCGACACAAACGACCGGCCAATTCAGTGGTCGAATGTGACGTCAATTCGGGTGCCGTCAAGTGTTTGGCCAATCAATCGCTATGTGCGGCAACACATGTGTGAAATCAATGGCATTTTTTATATAACAAATATCAGTCAATAATAACCCATTCAAATCAACCCAACATTTAAACTTTTGTTTAAAACAGTTTTTTTTAATTATAAACAGATAAAATATTGTACAATATTAGCAATTATAATAAATGCACAGTTAATTATAAATTGTTACAAAAAAACTATTTATTAATTTTAAAGAATTGTTATTAAAATAATTATAATATATTACTTAATAGTATTTTTGAATAATATTGTTAATATAATATGAGTTTTTATTATTTTCTATTTATCATATGCTTGTATTGGCAGTGATGAATAATCAAATACTTTAGTTGAATAAAAAAAAATAAAATATTCAATTATTATCATATCATAATTTTTATATATTAAGACACAGTAAACATTATTGTTTAGTCTGAAATCTTTAATATACAATAATTAATATTTTAAATAAAGCTTATTATCATATAGTTATCATTTGTTTGATTTTCTGACATTTATTTATTATTGCTAATTAAATTGTAATATAATAAATGAATGTAGTTTTCATTATGTTTTATTTATTATAAATTATATTAATTCCCATAAATATATAACATTAAACTACTGTATATACTGTTTTCATAAATTTTCACAATAAATATATAATTATATTTTGTTATCGATAATACAGTATAATAATTATTATTTTATTTTGTTAAATAATAAACAATTATTTTTATTTTATTATACATAATAGATAAATAAGCAATTACACTATTAATATAAAATTATTTTATTAAGCAATATGTTTAAATCAAGTAATAATTGTAATATTTTAAATTGTTTTTTGAATTTTAATTATATTTATGTTATTGATTTAATTAATATTTTTTTAATGCAATTCATAATAGTATATAATAAAATATACAGTACAATGTTTTATGTTAATTATAGTTTACAAATTATGTATACTTTAAACTTCAAAACTGATTTGTAAAATAAAAATTATAACACAAAATATCTAAATATTTTTATCAATTATAACTATAGTTAACTAATTTTATATACTATTAAGTTTTATATGTATATCGCGCGCAATTGTTTTTCAAAAAATTTAATTATTGTATAAATAATATAAAACTCAAATTATTTATAATATTGCTATCAAATATCATACAAATAATTGATATATATTTGACAAATAGTTGTGTGTATAGAAATTATGCCAAAATATAACAAGAGTTTTAAAAAAGGCAAACAAAGTGCCAAAAGGGTGCCATCGGATGCACCGACAGCTCTGATAGCACCGTCAGATTTTAAGCATATCTATGCAAAAAACAGTCCAAAACATACTAACAGTCCAAAGCAAACCAATAGTCAAAAACAGACCAATAGTCCAAAACAGACCAATAGTCCAAAGCAGACCACCATTAGTCCAAATGAGACCAAAGATGTGGCCAATATTGCAAAAAGGGGTTCATTGGCCACACCTACAGTCAATCCTTTAGCTTATGAACACTTGACAGACACACTATACAAAGGCAAAGGTGTCACAACCGGACATACAACTGCTAATACCTATTATGATAATATAAGTCCAACACAAAGCACTGTCAAAGGTATGGATACAAGGATTAATACCAGTGCTCAGGAACTGCCATTGAGTGCCAAATCTATGCCAACAAATCTGAGACTAGAGATTGAAGAGTGGATTGCAAGCAGACCTCAAAAATTTGATATCGACTGAAATCAAACAAACAATCCATTAGTTATTATACTATTTATATATATATATATAAATTTATATACTGTATATCATATATTTTTTCAATGTCCTACTGTTTATATAAATTATATATAAGTTATATATAAATTAATACAATTAATTTAGATATTATTTTTTTTTTAAATTTAATTATATCAAATATGTAATTTATCAAATAGACCTAATAATAAATATTTAAAATAATGAGTTTTCATAACCTCTATAAAATGTTACTTATTTTTCAACTTAATAAACATATAAATAATTTATTGATAAAAATTATGACGAAAACATCTTAAAAACCTAACAAAAAAATCAAATCTAATCTCATATAACAAAACTTTTATTAGTTTTCAATATATTATCTATAAATAAGTACAATAAATATGTATTTCTAATATTAATAGTAAACGTATTTTTATTTTTCTAAAGTTTATTGAACGTAATTATTTCAATGCAGCACTTATTTACAAAATATTAGTGCATAATATATACTGTATATATAAACACATGTTTTGCTAATTAAATGTTATTAAAATGTAATACATATTATTTGTGATAAAATTCAATAAATATGAATTTATTAGAAGATAAAGATTATAATATTACTATACTATTATTTTGTTAACAATGATTTTTTTAAAAAAATAATACTAATATAACCACATAAAACAAGTTGAAATTGTAAAAAAAAACTATGATATTGACTATCACACACACACACACACACCCACCCAACCACTTTCTAACCTCACCCGCACACACACACACCCACCCCAAACTAACCCAAATATATTAAATACTATTATATCATAGTAACTGTACCATTGATTTTTTGTTGTTGTTGTTGATATAACGGTGCCTTTTCCGTACAACAATTTATTTTTGTTTTAAAAATCAATATAAATTTATTACTAAAAAATATTACTAAAATTTTTCTAAATAATTGTTTTGAAACAAAAAAAAATATTAACTTTATTAAGTGGTCGTTAAATAGCTATAAATTATGGCCCATAATATACCGGTATATGATTTATACCGTAATGTTATTGAACTTAATGTTTTGACAGATGATATCAGAGGATATAATTATTATTAATTTTTTTCCTCTAATTTTTTATAATAATAATAATACACACAATATGTTTAGTTTAATAATATTGAAATGACATATCGTGTGAATCTTTCAAAACTACAAAACTATTAACAAATAGTAGACAATAATACTGTATTATAATATATCCAATATATATATAAAGCTCTCAATAAAGACATTGGTGTGAAAGTGTCCAAAACAGATAACTGTCCGCTTAAGACCTAGTGTTGTAAATTGATGTCAATTTGGAGGTAAAAACAAATAAAAAATAAATTTAATAATAATCTTATTGAAAAAAATGTATCCTAAAAATCTTGAATTAATTTAATAACACCCCATCTAATAATTAATTATTATTATTTAATTAATTATGATTTACTTTTAATTTATGATATCTGAGGTCAACTTTTATTATTATTATTGATATATAAAGTATTCAATTTTACAATTCAGACAAAATTAATTTTTTAAATAAATATATTTTTTAATTAAATTATGTCCAACGACTATAATTACTGATTATGTCTATTATTATTATTATTATTTAAAGTGACATTTCAATTGTAAATAAAATATAAGATTGAATTTTTCAACAACAAAAATTGATAATGAATTTTAAAATAATTGAGAGTTGCTTTCAAAACCAGTTTTTTGTAGTTTAGTTATCAAAACACTAATGAAAATCAAATATATTTTCCAATTTGCACAATGAATCATACAATAAATAAATTGATATTTTTGTTAATTATGTGTTAAAAGTTTCAAAAAATAATTTTAATTAGTCAATATTAAAAGTAATAACTATTACTGAATGTTAATGATTGTTAATATAAGTATAAGTATACAGAATTATACACTAAATATTTATAATAATAAGAAAATAGTAATAATGAAAATATAAATTTTATATCTAATTATTAATTTGTTGATTAAAAATGCCATTTTATAGTTTAATAAATTTTATGATACTATTTATTTCTATATTTATAAAAAAAACTTTATTGCAAATTATCATATTATAGTTTAATTAATTAATTATTTAATTAATTAATAAATAGAAATATATTTCATTTTTATATACTTATATTATAAGTTATATATGACATATTTAATAACAATTTTGAAAAATATTAGTATATTATTAGAAAATAGATTAAATTCATAAATTAGATTCTAGTTTAGTGTATATTTATATATACAGTAAATATATATATATATTGATATATATTATTAATTGATTAAAACATTTACTAATGTTTTCTGTTTTTATTATCTATATTAATACGGATCTAAAGTATTATCAAAAAGCAAATCCAAAGCCTATTATAACTAATATAACACTAATATTATTATAAAAACATTATTGAATTTATTGAGAGCGCGACTCAATAGCAAACTATTTAGTAGTTTTCATATTTGAATCGTGAGATCAACGAGTTATTGAATGAGAGTAACGACGAGAGAGAAACAGTTACTAACTTTTGGATACACTTATTATATACACGAAAAAGTAAAGTAAAATAAAAAGTTTGTGTCAGTGCTTAAAGCACAGTACGATTTTGCTGGTGGGGTCTCTTCCACACCAAATATTTGTCTTATAGTATAAGTGATCTCATTTAATAAACAGTTCCTGTAATAGTTTTTTTTAATTGAAAAAACTGTGCTAAAAGTGTGTGTTTTTTTTGTTTACCTCAGTCACCGATACTAATGGCACTAATATCCATATCAGACATGACCTCCCGATTGGTATACTACTTAACCGACGACTATTGGGACCAAATGGGTGATCCGCGTACACATGATCTGCCATTTGTTTCGGGCGGCATTTGGCAGATATTAACCGTAATGACTGGCTATCTATTGGTAACACGCAAACTGTTGCCCGTCTTTATGGCCAATCGGTCGGCGTATGACATGAGACGACCGATGTTTATCTACAACATAGTGATGGTTGCGGCCAATGCCTACCTGTTTGTTGAAGCAGTGGGCGCTTGTGAGCTCGGACGGGTATTTTTGAATTTCAAATATCCGGACCAAACGGACCGATCGGTTGGTACGATGCGATTCTTGAGCATTGAATGGCTCTTCTGGATGACCCGTTTTCTCGATCTATTGGATACCGTATTCTTTGTATTGCGCAAAAAGGACAGTCAGATAACATTTCTACATCTCTATCATCACACTGTTGTACCCATACTGTGCTGGCTGTGCCTCAAAGTCAACCCGAAGGCACCGATTGTACTGTTGTTCGGTATTTGCAATACACTGATCCACGTAATTATGTACACTTACTACGGATTGGCCAGCTTTGGACCGGCTATTCAGCGGTACTTGTGGTGGAAAAAGTACATAACCGTCGCACAGATCATCCAGTTTGCCATTTGTGGTACATATGGTGTCGTACTATACTTCATGCAAACGGGTTATCCGATGAGTTGGTTTGTGGTCGCCGTCGGCCAGAATCCGCTCTTCTTTTTCCTATTCTATGACTTCTATCGCCAAACATATCGTCAAAAGAAGCGACAAATTATTATTGAGAAAAAACAACATTCAAAAAGTCATACAAATTAATTAAGTAATGTATTTATTAGTATTTTTTGAAAGAAAAATATTATATTTTTTTCATAAAAAGTTAATTATTATTAATTATCACTTTTTTTCCATAAATTCTATTTAATTTTCTTTATACACTGTTTTTATTAAATTTAATTAATTTTATTTTATTGCCAAAAAAGTTTTTAATTACCAAAATGTATTTAATATTAAGTCATTGTTGTTTTAGTACATATACTCATTTAAATTAATATTTGTATATAAATATCTTTTCAATAAAAAAATTATAAATTGGTAATAAAAATCTAACTTAATATTTAAATATATTGATTTATTAAAACATTTGTAAAAGCATTAATAACAACTTTCTTATATTTTATTATTAATAAATTAAAAAAAAGTATTAAATATATTTATAAAAAGGGAATTAATATTTTTTTAAAAATTACATTTGAATCACAAAACTATGCGGACATGAAATGTAAATAACTAAAAGACATAAATTTATTTGTGAACAAAATTTTTCATAATTAGGTCATTAAATCAGTATATCTTTTAAAAACATATACACAAACACACACATCGATAGAGTAGTCAAAAACGTGTTTTAATATTTGTTTTGTGTCCTAAAAATACAGTATATATCAAAAATGATTTACTTGAATGCGTTTTTGTACAATTGAATTATAAATAATTTTTATTTAGTAATTATCTCATCTAATTAGCTGTTCATTCAAGTATACAATATATTATAATTAAATTATGAAATAGTTTATATAAATATTATTTAACATGTTTTTGACAAATAGTACTGTATATTAATTGTCAATGTATTAGTAAAGATTTATTATTAATTATTTATTATTAAAATTAATTAATATTTAATACACAAAAATTGTTATTATTATTATCATTGACATTCAACAATCATTATTAAGCACAAGTTCATAGTCTTCAAAAAAAATATATTCATTTATTATTAAAATTTTTATCTAATTATTTATATATTAAAAATAGTTTTTAATAAATCTAATTAAATTTAATAATATAATAACAATAAAAGTTATACATATATATACTGTATATATTAAGTTAGTAATGTTAACAATATATTATTTCATTCATATACAGTAAAGTACAGTACAATCAATCATTATATTGTCAATAAATTAACATAAATTCCTAATTAAATATATTGTTTACTCTAATACTTACCCCAAATACTTAGTTTTAATATTTATTTTAATATTTTTATTTCTCTATTTAAGTTAATAGATAATACTGTAGTTTAATATAACAATTAATATGAGTTTTAAGTGTATTTAAAATATTTTTATAATTATCTGCTCTGATATAGACTTTATAAAGTTTAAATAAAATGATAAAAAAAATAATTTTTTATACAAATCATAATACAAACAAATAGATGGCGCTATTGATTTGTATATTATTTTTTGTGTAAAATTTTATTGTTTTAAAATAAATTATTTTCATTTAATATTTTTTTAAATAAATTATAAATTTATCATTACTTGTAAAGTATGATTAAGAGTAAAGTAGCAGGGGCGGTTAAGAAAATTTTGGAAATTGATATTTTAATTGATATAATTTAATATATATTATAATTTTACACATATATATTAAATTTTAGATCAATCGGATCAATAATATTATAGTTATTAAATAAAATAAAAATTCATTATAATGGGAAGTATACAAAAAAAAAATCAAACTTTGACCCCCCAAAAAACACCCGTCCCTGGGATCGATTTACATGAAATTTTTTTGGTAATATTATAATTATCAATAGATGTTTTTAGGAAAGTGTGGATCTGCTCCTCAAACATAATCTAAAAATTATCAATAATTAAATTATATATATTGTGACGGTCGGGGAGCTTAGAATTTATAAAAATTATGTAACATCACGTGACAAATTAATTGACACAAAAATTAGTTTACATTATGTGACTTAACTGTACTCTATCGATAATAATTACAAAAATTTTTATTTTATTTAATAACTATAATATTATTGATCCGATTGATCTAAAATTTAATATATATGTGTAAAATTATAATATATATTAAATTATATCAATTAAAATATCAATTTCCAAAATTTTCTTAACCGCCCCTGCTACTTTTTTGTTATTTATTAAATATAAGCTTATATGTAAGGAATTATTATTTTTATTATTATTATGAATATTATGAAAAATATTTAACTGTATATTAAATTTTCCTGAAATGTTAAATAAAGGAAATTATAATAATTAAGACTATGATTATACAATAATAATGATAATAATAATAATAATAAACACATTTTTTAGAAAAATAATGATAACCATAGCAATCGACTCAATTTATAATTGTTTTCAATAGTTTGATAAATTCCCGGGGATTTAATCCATATAAAAATTAGTTATATTTTTTGTTGTTTTTCTAATATAACTTTAGCTAAACTGGGAATTCAAATTAACTGTAGATTTAAAGTGAAAATTTTTATATAAATAAATAATATAGTTTTTGTTTTTTAAGTAGAGATAAATGATTTTATCTATACTATGTTGAATATTGTTGAAAATGCCAGTTATTTTATCTAATATATAATATTATATATCGTATAATCTAAAGTGATATCATTTAAAATTTAGATATAAATATAAATATAAAATTTTGTATAGAATATAGTTTTTAGTAAATTGTTATTATGCACAATATTATTAATTATAAATATTACAAATTAAAATAAACTATCAATTATTTATTATTTCTTAATTAAATAAATAATATTGTAAATAACATTATTGATACATATTAATAATTTTATGCACTAATAAAATAATTACTATTATATAAAATATATATATATATACATATATATAATTTTTTTTTTAAATTTTCAGTTATAAATTTTAACAAAATAATTATGAAGTTAAACAGTATAATTATCATAAATTAATTTAATCATTAATTTGTATATATATATATATATTTAGACAAATTGTTTATGTATTACTGAAAATTTTATTAGACTAAAATAATAAATAATACATTAGATAATCTATTAACATAAATTATAATAAACACAACTAACTAACATACACACACACAGTGACAATAAAATTTACAATTTATATAAAAATTTAATTATAAAACTACAATGATTTAAATCAATATACTAAAAATTATTGTATTTTTTGAATAAAGACTAAAACTCTTAATTTCTTAATTAAATAATTTATATTAAAATACTAAAACTCTATTGTCTTTAATAAGTTTAGCAATCTTTCAATTGTAAGCCAAAAAAATCCTCTGTGAATTGGATTACTTTAAGAAAACGTCTAATTTTTGAACCGTAATAAAAATTTTAGTCGACTTTATTATAATATTACAAAATCATTACTGAATAAAAATTTTTATTTTATTATTTAAATATAGATTTTTTGACATTTACTTTAAGGCAAAAATTTAATTAGAAAAATCAACACAAGTATTCTTGTATATAAATTCTATACATTTTTAAAATTTATTTTAGTTTTTTATTTTCTCTCTCTCTCTCTCTCTCTCTCTCTCTCTCTCTTTCTCTGTAAGTTAGATAACAAAAAATTCCTTAAACTTTATTAAATAATAAGATAAATTTGTGTTTGTATTTATGCAAAGTACTGTTTAGTACATATATACAGTACATATTATTTTTTTAAATAGTGTAAATATTTTACATTTCTGATAAAGAAAAAAAAACTATAATATATTTATCTAAGTTTTAAAAAATTTAATAATACAGTTGAATTAATTTATTATTATTATTTAATTAATAAATGATTATTTTCACGCATTTACTGAAAATGTTGATAAATATTTCATTAATATTTACTATAAAAGTGATAGAAATTAATGAAAAGAGTTTAATTTGAAATACAAATATTAAGTTTATATCACATAAGATATTTATGTTGAATGATATGGGAATATATATATATAAATATAAATGACATAATAATAATCTCATCAAAAATTCTATTTATGACATAATATATGTAATTCTTAATATTATTTTTGTAGATAAAACCTATTCAAACCTATTGACTAAAAAACACAATTTTGTAATATATTTATAAAATGTATTATTCACATTTTTTACTGTTATAATTAAACTTTAAATTTGTATTATATTGTTTATATAGATATTTAAAAATATAGATATCAATAATAAATTAAATTAATATTCATGAATATTAGAAGATTATCAATTAAATATATATATATTTTTTTAGCTTAACATAAATGACAATTAATGAAATTATTTATATTATAATTTTATTATTAAATGTTATTAATATTTACTTTTTAAATGAAAATAAGATGCCGTTAAAAATATTACTTAATTATAACATACATGTGATATATAGTATAAACATTTATTTTATCACTGGATAACATACTGTATTTAAAAAAAATAATGTTTATTTAAGTCCATAAATATTCAGTATTTAATTGACCAAAACATATTTAATAACCTTTAAATATTAAATCTATAAAAATAACAAAATTATCGTACAAGTAAAGCAAATGATTATTTTAATTATTTTTTAAGATAAATTCTGTAATAACAATAGAAAAATATTTATTTTTCTAGAAAAAATAGCATTTTAATAATTAAATATTATTTTTTAAAAATGTTATTTTAAAATGTGAGTTTCGTAACAAAATATTATTGATAATAACTATAAAATTTCAATGTTGAATATATACTGTGTATATATATAATAAAAGCAACTATAAATTGTAGTGCAAAATACATTTTGATATCTGTTTTAATGTAAATATTAGAAAATGTTTTCATAAAACCAATGAAGTTTATATAAAAACAGAATATTCTGTATATTATATGACAAATAAAATCTTTCATAATATTTACATAACGTTAGAGTTTTATTTGATTGTAGAGAAAAAGCAATCTTTCAATATATGTAATAATAATAATAATAATAATAATACTTGAATAAAATAATATTTAGCTAAATTTAAAATATATAGAAATATGTTAGTCACAAGATATACATAAATATTTTATTTTATATAAAATATTTTGTTATATAAACTTCATTTATTTATTTTTAAATAACATTTTTCATAAAATCAAAATTTTATTTTAAATATTATTCAAAATTGATAGACCATAAAATAATATAATATAACAAAATATAACAAAACTATATTTATAACTTAAATTTTTTTTATTTATATACCTGTATATATTATACATTATATATAATTATATACGTATTAAAATTATTACATTATTAAAATATTATACTTATAAAACTATGTTTATTCAATTCATAAATTTTAATCAAAATTAAATTAACTTATTTGAAAATATTATATTTAAAAAATAACAAATTTAAGCTATTGTTACAAGTTAAATTAAATAATTATTTTAAAATAAGTTTATCAAAAATATTATTTTTGACAGATAAAATATTTTTGGTAAATATTAGTAGGTTTTTTTCATAAATAAGTTGACTAAATTAATTTAATTTAATATAGCATTTAATTAATACTATGTGTTAATTAAATCTTTTTATTAAATACTGTCATAAAATATATTTTTCTAATTATCTATGAAACTAAACTGACACAATAGTGATTTAAATATAGTATTATGTTAGAAAATTATTAGGAATTTTATAATTCAATTAATATATAATAATTTTTCAAATTTACAATATACTGTATACGGGTATATCATATTTGAGTAATAAATTATTTTACTGTAAAAATATGATTGACTGCTTATATATACTATATACTGTATTTAGATAAAGGTTACATACAAACAATCTGTCAAAAATTATTAAAAATAAAAATAGCAAATATTTAAATACTAATAAAGTATATTATAGTATATTACACTTTCATTCTCTCTCTCTCTCTCTCTCTTTCTCTATGATATGCTTTTAAAAATAACTACTTTTATAATATTTTTGATAAACTTTTGACATATTGAGTATATGATTACACAAAATGCTTTTATATATATAAATATATTAATATATACAACAAAACACTTGTCTGTCATTTTAATTATTTCCCAACGGATGCTTGAATTCTAGTATTTTATAGCATTGAATCAAAATTTTCGCAAAAATTTTATTTTATATTTGCATGTCTTATATTATGACAGTTTTGAAAATATTTTAGACCAACATTTTGTGTAGACATATTTGTTAGACAAATAATGTTTTTTAGCTGTCATTTATATATATATATATAATTTTTGTTATTTTGAAAGATGCCATATTTTTTATTTAATATTTTTTGTGTTCATTATTTATATATATTTGTTAAAAGGATTGTTATATTAAAACAGTAAACACATAAATTTATATAATTATTAAACTCTATATAAAAATATATAATTATTTTTTTTTATTAAAAACATAAATTTATTTCATAGTTGTTGTAAAATTTCATTGCTATTGGTCAGTCTAAATATAGCATAAAAATTGCATTTATTATATATATATATTATATACAGTATATACCGGTATTTTATATACAGTATATATGAAATATTGAGTGTGACATTTGAAAATTGTTTGCGCGTATATAAAATATACTAAACATAAAACACATGCAAATTAATTAAATCCTAAAACTATCGATAGTCTACTATAGCGTCAAACATTAGATAATTATTATTTTTTGTCTAATGTCATATACTATTTAAAAATTAATTAATTATCTTTTTGTATTATTATTAATAATAATAATTTATAAATAGTATACTATATTTCCTATTTATTGTATATATAAACTATAACAATAAAATATGAATAGCTAAGAATATTTTTCTTAATTATACTATTTTTGGTAATTGTTATTAATATTATAATTAATAATTTTTATAAAACAAAAGAGTATACCATTTAATCTTAAATATTTACACGAAATTCTGTATAAAACATATAACAAATAAATTAAGTGATTTACTAAACCTATTAGAATTATAAGCAACAATTAGTTTAAGTGTTTTTTGATAATTTATATATAAGTTTATATATTGAAGTATAAATTAAATTTCTCATTAAACTAATTAAAATTATTTTTGCTTTGTCTAAAAATATTATATATAAATTTATATATAATTAATTATGAGTATTTAATAATGTCTATCTATTGTCAAAATTAAACTCTCTAATGATATTAAAGAGAAAAGATATATAGATATAGATAAATAGTGAGTGAGTGAGAGAGAGAGAGAGAGAGAGAGAGAGAGAGAGAAAGAGAGAGAGAAAGAAAGAAAGAAAGAAAGAAAGAGAGAGAGAGAGAGAGAGTACAGGTGTATTGTATTTGAAAAACAATTGTACATTAAATTATTTTTACTGAATACGCCTGCGTTTGGTAACGCGATTGGAAGGTACGGTATTTGCTCAACACATACATACATACTCTCAAAACAGGCATCTCTTACCCGACCATAACGTGCTCTCAAACATATCAGCATTTGATAGAAAGTGAGAGAAAAGTTAGTTAAAGTTGATTACGTTGTGTGTGTCTGTGTGTGTGTGTAGACAAACTGTGCTCACATTTATCTATGGCTTTACAGGTATACTATTGAAAGCTAAGTGTGAAACTAATTTATAAAAGAAATATATTGTATATTATATATATATACTGTTGATATTTGAATTCAATTGAGAGTTGAAAACATAAAAGTTATCAAAAAAAAAAAATAAGTAAATCCAATCACATATCGACAAAAAAATATATTATATAAATAAATATATATATATATATATACAGAATAGCTTTACTTTCATTATTATTATACTATTTTGTATCCGAAAGTCATAAATATCTTTCTAACTTTTTTTGTGTGTATATTAATATAATAATAATAACAATACTTATAAATTATAATAAATCAAATACATCTTTCGTAAAAATAAAAATAAAACTTATTTTATATTATTATATATTTACTGGACTTTTGTACAATTGTTATTTAAATGTAATTAATACATTTTTAATAATTAAATAAATAAATAATAATGAAATACAGTGACAACATTGCGAGAGACTGTAGTACAAGTGTGGCCAGGTATGTTATTATAAATTTTTTATATAAAATTTATATATATAGTAAATATATTTAGTTAAATTTATTTATTTTGTTTGTATTTAATTTTTTAGATTCAGATTGTTTTGAAATTTGTAATTTATGTAATTCATAAAAAATAGTTAGCTAAAAAGTTTGATTTAAAATAAATTTTTCAATATTGATTGAAACCTTTTACCTATACTTTAAGTAAATATTTCAAATCAAACAACAACATGATATATCATAGAAAATAAATAAATAAAACAAGTCTACAAATCTATACATTTGTTTTAAACAATGAAATTGTTTTATTATTATTTTTGTTTTGTTTTTTATTTTATTTTGAATGATTGTTACAATTTTTTTTATCTCTCAATTTATTCCTTACAACGCTTTTAACATAACAAACATCACACAAAATATACGATACATTTGTTGATCACATATGAGATTTGATAAAATACATATAATCTTTTATATATGTATTTTCTTTATCATTATTTCGACACTATATTTGATACTTTATTTTTGCAAATGATGTCTATTCTCAATGCAAAAATGTTTATCATTTATATTGTGTTTTTATTTTACAAAATAGTTTTTACTATTTTTTGTGTATTTGTTTTTCATCTCTTTTTCATAATTGAATATAAATCTTTGTATATACATTACACACATATATATAACAAATTTATATCTTATATATAATTTTTTTTACAAAATTTTATATTAAAATGTATAAAAATAAAATTTAAATATCATAATTTGAATAAATGTTAAAAATTCTTATTTTATATCAATATTTTTTTTGATAATATAAGACACGAGAAAAATATATTTTATTATTTTAATCTAAAATATATTTTAAACAGTAATAATAATAATAATAACGCTTATAATAGTGAATTTAATCGACAAAAATAAATAATGTAGAAAATAGTCGATTTGCACGAATGTATGCTATAGTTAGTGCACATCTATAATATAAAATACAAATTTCTATATTTAGTTTAACAAAATTTAAGTTTACAATAAAGACATATTTATCATAAATTATAATATATATTTAATACATAATTATAAATTATAATTAGCAGTAAATAAAATGAGTAAGTTGATTATTAGGTAAGAGAGAGAGAGAGAGAGAGAGAGAGAGAGAGAGAGAGAGACTAATCAAAATAATAATCTGTGTATAAAAAAAATATTTTACTTTACATGCAAATTAAAACCAAACACACAAATTGTTTTTCAAATTAGATGCTTAAGTGGTGTACTTGTCGGATGAAAAGTTGATTTTAATTAAATCCTAAAACATCATAATATATGATAGTGTATTATACTGTATTATATACTATATTATACTGTACCGTATTATACTGTATTATAAGGAAATAGAGATTTTACATAAAAATTAATTAAGATGAAAATTTCTTTAAAAAACTTTTTAAATATTTTAGAGATTATAATTTTTTTGGATCAACTCTTACTATATTTTGTAAAATTTTAGTTTTTTTTAATAAGATATAAATTCTAAGAATAATTAGAAATAAATTTTACAATAGTCGCTAAAAATAATAATATAAAAAAATAAGATTTATATAAAATATTTATAGATTATCAATATGACATTTACACGAAAATTTTTTATGTTGTTTTTGCTTTTAAAATATTAGTATATTTCCGATAAAATATTGTACATATTTATTTATATTTTATAAACTATATATAGTTTTTTATAAGCTATTTTATAACTCAATAACTATTTATCAATAAAAATATTTTCTAAGAATTTTTTTTATTGTAAAACCATTTTATTTTATATATATTTTTTATAAATCTTGTTATTTTACTTATATTAATAATCTTGTTATTTGTAATTCAAATACTTTTGAATATTTTTTTGTTGTTGAAAATACCTATACATAAAAATTCTTCAAATATTACAAAAAAATAACTACTAAAACAATAAATTGATTGCAAAAAAAACAATGAGAGAGAACTTTGATATTTAGATTTAAAGTACAGTATTAGTAAAAACATTTGTAACTAAATTTTATTTTTTTTATATTTTTATTATTAAAACAATTTATTGTAATATAATACATCTACCGTATGATACAATAAAATACATTGTTATTTACAGTAATTTTATTTAGTTTTTTTTTGTTTATAGATCTCTAGATTTAAAGCAATTGTTATCTTAAATAGACACGATATGTGTATTGTATTATTATTGTTGTTTAATAAGAGTAAATAATAAGGAATTGTTTAGTAATATAATAAAACTAAATTTTTATATATTATATGGGATATTAAATTAGTTTATCTGGTTTTAATTTATTTTATTATTAATATAAATAGTTTTACAACTTTATTATAAACTATTTATTCTTATACTACTTTATTATTTGTCTTTATAAACTACATTATATTATTTTTAAGACATAGGTATAATTATAGTTATACACATTAATATTTTTATTGTTAAACATTTTTTCTATTTATATCAAAATTAAATTAAAATAAAGGTCACAAAAATTATTTATTATGTTTAAGCATCAATTATTTTTTTATAATATATTAATCAAAAATTTGTATATTTGAATTTTATTCATTTATAATTTAGCAATTTATTTATATTATTTATTTTAATGCATTTGATTAAATAAATTAAAACGTTTTGGTTTGTTAAATATAAAGTAAAGTTTTTAATATTAAAATATTAATTATTTAATCATATTTATTACAGCTATTAGACAAATAATATTTTTGAGACTTTTTTGTTATATAAATTGTTATTTATTACAAATGATTATAAGTCTCATACAAAACAATTAATATAAAAAATAGTTATATCAATTCTAGGCCTACCATTTATTTGATTATTTACGACATAGTCATAAATAAATGGTAAAACAGTTAATAACTTTTAAAAAAATAAATAAATAAAATAATTTTAATATTTGAAATGATGTTTCAATATATTAGTAATTGATATTAAGTACATATATAATGAAATGATATATTTATATATAGTATAACTTTATATCATATTTTTTTATAAATCTGATAAATAATATTCCTCTATTTATCTATAATGTTTGAATCAATATAAAAAACATAGATTAACTAGGATCATTTTTATATTGATAACAACTAATTGGTTTCTAACAAATGTGTAGTCCAGCTAAAACTTATAATTTGCTTTCAAATATCAGATATATATATATATATATATATATATATATATATGGATTATATGGAGTAAAATCAGCCAAACATGAAATAGCTATAAATCTTTTTAATAAATAATTGCGCATTTTTTTCGCATAGTTTTTACGGAAAATATTTTCTTAAGAAAAACATTTATATATAAATATATAATTTTCTGCTAAAATTATTTTTTTTTGTATTTTAATATCAAATATATTTATATTAAAAACTCATTTATTAAATTCCTAATGAATTAAATAATCCAATGGTTTTTTTTATATATTTTCTAGTTTAATATTATATAGTATTTAGTTATTATTTCAAATTTGCATGCTAGCATTTTTTTAGATTTATTAAATTTTTTGACATGTTAATTAACATACAACATTTTCCATAGTAAAACAAACATATAACTTACATAAATGTATTTTTAATAATGATTATTTTATATATATATATATATATATTAAAAAAATTACTGTATGTTATGCTCCATGTATTAAACTAATAAATTAAAACTATCGCAAAACATAGTAAAATTTATTATGTTGTCAAATAAAGTTTTATGATTTAATAAAAATGTAAATTTTATATTAAACTTTAAAATAAAATCATAAAAAATGCTTTAAACTATAAAATAATTATTTGTGAATTGAAAATAATAGATCCCAAATATATATTTATAAATTTGATAGGTATACAAATACAAGGTATATACCATATATATATTGTAATACAAATTTAATGGTCTGAATAATACAAATGTTTTTATAGTGTTTTTTGAGGCAATTGAGAAAATTATGATTAGTTTTATAACAGAATTTTATTTCTAGAGAGAAATATATATATCTTTTATTTTATTATTTATATTTTTTTGTACACACAATAAGTCACTTATCTTTGTAATTCACGTTTATATAATATATTTATTACAAATAAATATTACATATTTTATTCATCATTTATTGTTTACTATTATTTTATTGGATATTTTAAAGATAATTGTTATTATATTTTTTCTATTTCATCACATGTTTGTTGTAATAAATATACAGTATAATCTTTATACATTAAAATATATTATTATATTTTTTTGTGTTATAGTCAATAATAATAAATTTATTGTGGGTTACATAAATGCTTGTTTTCATATTTTATTATAATAAAAAATTTAAGTTGGTCATAATTAATAATAAATAAAATTAATAAATATTTATTGGATATAAATAATATAAAATAGTATCTAAATAACAGTATATTATTATTTTTTTAATGTTTATTAATATTTTATTAACGTTATATATAAATAAGTTGTACAGTAAATCTATTGTATATATAGCACATCATATAACATATACATGTAAAGTAAATATGAATACAGTTTATTAAAATTAATTATATTAATTTATTTATAGTATATTAATTTTGCTATTAGCTACTATTAATTTTCTTATAATTTTAGTGGCAATTTGTCGATAAAAATAGACAAATAATTAGTGTCTTAGTTATATATATATATTTATACTATTATATAAAGTATACAGTATTATTTCATACAATAATAACTTTTGGATTACTATAGTATTGGATAATTATTTTGTTTGATAGTAAACCCATTTATTTATTGTAAATGTCTATTTAATCTGTAATAGATATGACAATTAATTGTTTATTATTAAGACAAGTATATATAAAATAGGATTGTAAGTGTCTAAGCGATGAGTTCATAAAATCACTATTTAATTAATTTTATTATATATTAATTAAATATTAATTAAATTTTGTTT